CGTGGTGTAGGACTTTCCATGAACCATCTGGATCCATTCCTCTATCCCACGCTTCCCTCGGCTGCCTGGGATGCCGCGCTCCGCCACATCACTCGGCATTCTGGTGAGAGGTTTCGTCTCATCACAGACATGACGATCTACCGGGATATCAAGAAGGCAATGATGATGGGCGGCGTCTGCGCCGTTTTTAGGCCACGGTGCGCGATTCTGAGAAGCCCACGAAGAACGCGTAGTACCTCGATGTCAACAGTGTGTACCCCGACGCTATGACCAAGTTCTTGCCTTCTTCAGAAGGGGCTGCAGTCGCTCTCCCAGAAGGCGAAGAGGAGAGTCTGAAGTGGCTCCACGATGTCCTTGATCGTCTGAATCCTCTTGAAGACGGCTCTCAGGACATCCACCTCGTCTTCGTGGATTATGACTTTCCCGAGGACCTGCACGACGGCATCGACTGGCCCTCACCCTGCAGAATGGCCGTTCCCATCGAAGAAGTCGGGCCCTACACCAAGGACGCCGTTCGAGGTCGCAAGCCCGCTGAGAAGCTGGTACCTTTTCTTGGCCTCCACCAATGCGAGGGCATTCACGCAAAGAGGCTAGCTTTCCTGCGGAACCACCTAGGTGCTCGGATCTGGAAGGTTCCCAGAGCCTACCGCTTTGAGTCTTGGCCCCTCTTGAAGAGCTTCATGGAGGGTTTGTACAACTACAGGCGCCAGCTGAAGGACGAGGGGCGAGACACTGAGCAGAGCTTCGTGAAGCTCACCAGCAACAGCATCTATGGAAAAACCGTCCAGAATCAGGAAAAGTTCCTCACCAGTTCACACTACTTTGACCCGATCTCCTTTAGCCGGGCACAAGCCGACAGAACCGTGGCCGACTTTGCCACGGACATCTTCGAGCCTGACGCTTTCATGGCTACGGTTCGTCGGGTGAGATCCGCAACGAAGAATGTCAATCGCAGTCCCGTGCAGGTTGGCTGGTCCATCTTGGAAGAGTCAAAGCTCGACCTGGCTGTCAAGTACTGGGTTGGTCTCAAGTCCTCGTTGCCACGCGTGGTGCCCATCCTGACGGACACCGACAGCATCGCTTTCGAGGTGATCGGCAAGGTGGACGTGGTTGCCCTGCTTGCTGAGGCCAACATCAAGCTGCCGGTGGAGATCGACCTCATCGGGGACTGTGACGTAGCATCGTTCGAGCGTGCCTATGCGGACAGGATTTCCGAATCTGCGATGTCCAGGCTAAAGGAGTTGCGAGGCAAGCTTGGTGCTCTGTCAGACGAATGCAGTGATTGGCGTATTCTCAGCATAGTATGCTTGGCCGTACAGCGTTCTTGGGACCGAGAACAATCAGATGCAGAAGGCAAAGGGCGTTCCGAAAGACGTCCGACTGCGCACAAAGCATGCTGAGTACTGCCGCATCCACGAGGCCAACTCCGTCCAGTTTGACCGCTCCGTGGCCCTGCGTTCGCAGCATCACCAAGTGTCCTTGGTGGAAACCGAGAAAAAGACGTACCAGGTGCTCAACGACAAGGCCTTTCAGATCACCAGAGAGTATGCTCGGCTTTTAGGTCATTGGCGCAATGCCTTTGTTGGTTTATGGGTCAAGATCGAGCAAAGAATGCCCATCTTCGAGAAGATCCTAGAGTTTGTGCGCGGACCTGCTCCACAGATGCGGGAGGAGTGGGGAGAGCCTGTCAGGGAGCTGATTAGGAAGATGCATGGCGACTTTAGTGCAGTTTGATGTCCTCGGATGCTGTAGCAGAATAGCGGTGTCTTGTGTTTAGCTAGGGTCGTCTAAAGAGTATCTACGTAGTCTACACAGTATCTAAAGCGTGTTTCTTTTCTGCTACTGTCTCCAGGCTTTATGGACATACAGCCAAGTTGTACGCTTTGTGCATTCCGGCGGACAAGGTATGGACATACAGCCAAGTTGTACAGTTCGTGCATTCCGGCGGTTCCGTCAGGGATCTGATTGGGAAAGCATGTGGCGAATTTAGTGCAGTTTAATGTCTTTGGAGTCTGTAGCATCGTAGCGGTGCTTAGTGCTTAGCTAAGTTCGTCTAAAGAGTATCTACGTAGTCTACATAGTATCTAAAGCGTGTTTGTTTCCTGCTACTGTCTCCAGGCTTAATGGACATACAGCCAGTTGTACGCTTTGTGCATTCCGGCGGTCAGGTATGGATACAGCCAAGTTGTGCAGTTCGTGCATTCCGGCGGTCAGGTACCGGATCGAAGCGTTGTGCTTCCAGAAACACTGCATGGTGTGGCAGCATGCCCCGATGCCAAAATCGGAGTTGTCGTTCAAATCATGGGTGGCAGTCTGGCCGCTTGAGCTTGTTGTCTTCGCCGTTGTCTGGATTGCACTTCCAAACCCCTAGGCCTGACATCCTCAGCTCCCGAAACCTTTCTAATGTCCCTCCTGACCAAAGGTTCTGGCAAGACGATAGCGCTGGCCCAAGCTGGTGTGCTGCACGCTCAATACTCTGTAAACCTTCTCAGTCCACTTGAGCTCGTTCACTCTGTAAGATGCTCTTGACTCTTGGGGCTTGAGTCTTATCTTAACGCGATCTCCAACTTGTATCAAATCTCTTGGTTCGGCTGTGTCCTTGGCGCGATCTCGCATGGACTCCCACGCTTTGTTTGCCTTGTCAGGATTGCTGTAAACCTCGTTAGGAGTAGCGCCGGTAGCTGTGTGAACCCGATTGTTTATCTGTTCTATTATATCTGGAAGCAGCAGGTGCCATTGACCTCTTCTTCCAACACCTTGCGCCAGCCTTCTCAGCATTGCTTCCTTGATCGTGCGGATGACCCTGCATGTCCTCTGGTAACCTGCTTTTCTATAGACCAATCATCTAAAAGTTGCTTGAACTCTCTTTCTTGAACTCAGCGCCGTCGTCAGAGTACACTTGAGCAGGTATACCCAGACGATCGATGATAATTCTCATTGCCGAAGCTGTAGTAGTGGCCAGGCGATCTTTGAGGGGTAACGCAGCAACTTTCTTGGAGAAGCTATCGATAGCCACTAGCATATATGGATAGGGTTTGCCGCCAAAAGCTTGCATAAACGCTAGATCCACTTGAACTTCGTGCATGGGCTCTTGAGGTACGAACGAGTTGTACCCTCGTTGCGGCCTATCCTGTCGATCCTCGAGGCTCTCAAAGTACCGTTTAACCTCATCTCTTGTCACGAATGGATTGCGTTCCTTTGCCGCCTTGAGAGTGTCTGCAATGCTGCCAAAACCAGTCCGAGGATTCATATACACCTCCTCGATGATTCGCCTCCGAGCCGCAGCTTCTCTTGCGAGAACGTCTGCCATGAAATGCCGTGTCAGCTTGCTTTTTCTTTGTAGTTCAAGCTTTCTGCTTTTGATCAGCCCTACCGTTAGAGCAGACGGAACACATGGGCACTGTACGGATGTTTTGTGCAAGCTTGAGTGTGGGGATGCTTCAATTATGTGCATGTTTTGTGATTGTTTCTCAAAAAAAACAAGAGAAAATGCTCGAATCTGGAGTGGAGGGATACTGGGGAATCCGTCCATTTTTTTAGCGTCGAAATTTCTTCATTTCAGACCGTTCATTGTGCCAAATCAACATTTTGAAGCCAGTTAATTGGCACAATTTTTTCATTTTCGGATTTTTTACACAAGAATATTTTTTCTTTTGGATTTTCCTTGTAAGTAACACGAATCCTTTTTCATTTCAGACTTTACGCAAGAATATGTATTCTTTTTGGATTTTCCTTGCGTCATTGACACGAAATATGCCGAGTCGCTATGCTGAGTGATTGAAACGCGATATGCTGAGTGGCTTTGCAGCGAAATTGACACGAGATATGCTGAGTCGCTTTGCTACAAGATTGACACGAGATACCTGGCCAAACATTTATCCTTTTGATATGGCAGTTTCAACACAAACTATGGTTCAAAATTGCATTCCATTAATTGGTCCAATGGTCTTCTCTATCCAACACACCAGAGTGCCAGCACTCTTCAACTCCATCTTGCATGCAAGCACCGATGGCCTGACCAGAAGGCAAAAGACTTGGCACCTCTTCGGAGACCGAAGTTTGCAGTTTTGCCTCATTTGGGCAGAAGGAAGTGCAGTTGAGGAATTTTGTGCCATGCGAAACCGCTTTCCAGCGTAGACGAGCCTCATGAGCGTTTCAAGTCTTGCACCATCCCCTTCTTCCCAAGCACAAAGACCAACAGTATCAACATGCACTGAGTGGAGCACTGGGTCCTTGCGACGTGCATCCGGCTTCCGTATTTCCATCCAAGTGGGTTCCGCCCGGGTCCACCCAGGGTCCCCATTTTCATTTTTCTCAAACCGGGTCCCGCACGTCTCGGTGACGGTTTGTTTGCATGGCTGTCTTGTCCAGATCATTTCGGGGCATGGAAGTTCGGACTCGTCGCAACGCGCGGCGGAAGAAACGGCCAGCTGCAGGACAGGGTCACAGAACTGGAAGACCAAGAGACAAGAACCGGCACAAACGGGTGCCCGACAAGCGCCCGACAATGCCTAAAAATGGTGTCTAAATCAACCCTTCATAGTCCCATTGTTTTTTGCAAAAGAAATTTAGCTTTCCTCCAAAAGTAAATGCTCTTGGGCACTATGACTTTCGAGCACTATGCTGCGCCTCGAACCGGCTCAACAACCCCTGAATTGGAGTGTGAAAGACTAAAGAAGCTTTTGCAAGAACTGTGAAAGCCCTTACGTGCTCCTTCCTTGAGACACGAGACTTATCGGCAGGAACTTTGAGTCTGCCTAAAAGCTTTCTCACTCAACGCATTTGCATGGTCACACCTTTTCGTGTGTCCAGGACCAGTGTCCAAACAACAGGAGTTCCATTGCCTATGGTGTCGAAATCACGTGGGCACACCGAATGGCGCTATTTCAGGCACATTTGGTGCAGAGCACGGTGTGGCGGAGCGTGACCTGCAAGATGTCAAAATCCGTCGCCCGCGCATGGGCACTGAATTCGGTTGCAAAAATTTGAAAACTGTGTGTAGACACTTGAGACGCCGATGAAGCCACCAAGTTTGAGAATTGTGACAGTGTCCACACAGCCTTAGCAATTCTTCCAGATTGTGAGCTCGAAACCGGTTTGTTTAGTGTCGAGAAAAGTGACCAGACAAAAGAGTTGAGTTGAGGTGGTGAAACAAGGTGAAAAAATGTTTTTTGGAAGGTTCATCTCTCTCCAGTTTCGGTTGGAAGGACTTCTTCAACCACAGCCCGTAACCTCTCACTCAATCAAAAGAAAAATTCTATCCGATGTCCTGATGTGCGGTAGTGAAACTGTCAGAAGTGTCACACTTCAGATTTGTAACTGCACGTTCGTTCCATGAAGTCCCTCTTCGTCCTCCGCCTTCGAAGCCTTCGAAGAAGCTTTCTTTTGACTTTTGTCTTCGTTCTTAAAAACGTGACTAAAATGTTTAGCAGACAGCTGCAGAGATTCCAGATTGGCTTATTTTTGCAGTATCGAAATTGGCAGTGTTGTGATTTTTAAAATGTATTTTGCATGTTGTGCCTGGCTCTTCCTTTTCATCACTTGCCGTTTGAAACCAGTCAAGCAGCATGCAGCAAACTTTTTTTCGAATCCATGTGTGTCTGTGTGTGTGTGTGTGTGGCAAGTGTTCTGGTGATGATCCAGCCAAGGCTACGGACTCTTCCAGCAACGGGCTGTTTCCAGCTTCCTACCGGATTTGTTCCAGCTCACAGCTTTCAGATTGTTTCAGGTAAGAGGTTTCTCGTTTTTTTGTTAAGTTGTTCCAACTCGGAGTTTATTCCAGCCAGACGTTGTTCCAGGGATGTTCCAGAAGGGAGTTTCACCTTTTTGCTGCGCTGTCGCAGATGCCAAGCTCGGATAGAGTTTCTGTCGAACAATGGAAACATGCCTCTCCGTTTTCGTTTAAGCCTTGAGCATTTTTGCCAAATCTTCGCACAAGCCGCTTCAAAAAAGTGGGCGACAGCGATCGCGATTCTGATCTTTCAAAGTAAAAAGATTCCAAATCTCCTTCCAGTTATCACTTTGTTTCTTTTACCAACTCAAAAAGTCCAGGCGGCTTTTTCACAAATTCCAGCGTGGTGTATTCAGCAGGGATGCCTCTTTCGGCTATTTCTTCATTCTGTTTTCAGTGTTTTTTGAGGATTATACTTTAAGTACCGCTCCTTTTTTTGTTCCTTCACTTCCGTTCAGTCACACGATTTTCCTGTTACCGACGTGGAGTACTGACGACACTCTCCTATTAGCAAGAACGACCCAGGCTATTAATCGGCTTCGATCTCCATCTTCTGCTTCGAAGGCATCTCAACCACGAAAAACGCCTATTAGCCATTAACCCGCAAAGGACGATCGGCCTCGTTGATCAGCCTCTCCACGAATGTAGTTGCCCTTCCTTCTTTCCTATTCTTGGCAATATCCCACCATCCACAGAAGCAATCGAGGCAACGGATGCTGCCCATTTGGGAGCATACCTTCGGCCAATAGCGCGGCGGACAAGGATGCAGCACCGTTCTTCTCAAACCATACGATGCTTGAAATCCTTGGATTTTTTTGATGGACATTCTCAGATCTCCCACAAGAGGAAGCTAGTGGTACATTCCCAAATTACCTTGGCCATTCTCGTTTATGTTCGGATCACAAATATGTACCAGATCCTAGTTGCAACGTTTTGACTCCTGTATAGGGCTTTGCGAAAATTTTTTGAATCAAGCACCTGATTACCTCCAAATGTCTCGGCGCTGCGTCGGCGCGCCACGTGTACACTGGGCAGAACTCGCCATGTCAGAAGCCTATACTAGATATCAATATTTGCTTCAGCACCGGGTACCCTCGCGCGTTTTTCAACACTCGCATGATTTGTTTACACAGCTTGCTCGACAGGATAATGCCAGTCTCCATTCGCAGTGGTTTGAAAACACCAGCGTTTGCATTACATTACAGCCCATCTCACATGACAGATCCCAAAGGAGGCAGCTCGTGCACCCCGGGTAGCAGTGGAAAGGAGCCTCTTTGCTAGACAGGGCTGTTGACAGGCGGTCTAGACGTGGACTCGCTTGTTTCCAAAAAAAGAGACCCACATGATGGCTGGCCAGCGCATGCAAGCTTTGCCGCCGGAAGCAACCCACAAATGGAATGAGTGCATGCTGTCCACAAATGGTTCGAAGCAGCATGGCACAAAACGGATTTGATAATAATGGAACGTGGAACATGGTCGACGGCTTCGCTCCGTTCTTGGTCCTCCGTCAGACGTTGATTGGAATCTCAAATGGCATGCAATCTTACAAAGCTGGAAAATGAAATTTTTGTTTGTTTTCCACTGTTTGACGAAA